AAAATAGGTAATAATTAAAATAACAAATCAAGCTAGAATTTATTTATATTTACCATTTTAACATTGAATTATGGTAAGTTAGATGTAAATATATTCAATATGTTTCTTCTTCATCACCAAATTTCATGTTTCTTCGTCACCAAGCCACAGAGTTAAAATACTGTAAATGAATGACAAATAAATTATATCTACATGGGTAATTACTAAAATTAAACATTTAACCTCAATGTTATTTGTATTCACTATAATCGCATTGCATTATGGTATAATAGATGTAAACAATTTCTATATTTTTCTTCTTCTCCATCACCAAAATTTTGGTTTCTTTACCTCTAAGAAACTAAGTTAAGAGACAACAAATGAACGACCCATAATTTATACATATGCTTAAAAATTAAAATCAAATAATCAAGCTCAATATTATATATATTCATCGTATTCACGTTGACTTATGGTATATTATACATTAAAAGTTCTAATCTAAAAATATAATAGAATATAATGTATGTAAAAAATTAATTATATCTTATTTTTCTACTCCATCTCAAAATTTTAGGTTTTTATTCACTAAAAAACAAAGCTAAATGACTATAATCCATGAGATATTTTTTATATAAAATAGGTAATAATTAAAATAACAAATCAAGCTAGAATTTATTTATATTTACCATTTTGACATTGGATTATGGTAAGTTAGATGTAAATATATTCAATATGTTTTTTCTCTATCACCAAATTTCATGTTTCTACTTCACCAAGCCACAGAGTTAAAAGACTGTAAATGAATGAAAAATAAATTATATCTACATGGGTAATCACTAAAATTAAACATTTAAGCTCAACGTTATTTGTATTCACTATAATCACATTGTATTATGGTATAATAGATGTAAACAATTTCTATATTTTTCTTCTTTTCCATCTCCAAAATTTTGGTTTCTTCACCTCTACGAAACTAAGTTAAGAGACAACAAATGAATGACCCATAATTTATACATATGAATAAAAATTAAAAATAAATAATCAAGCTCAATATTATTTATATTCATCGTATTCACATTGACTTATGATATATTATATCTAAAACTGTTCAGTATTTTTCTTAACCATCCCAAAGTTTTAGATTTTTTTATCACTATGCTAAAAACATAATAGACTATAGCATATGTAAAAAATTAATTATATTTTATTTTTCTACTCCATCACAAAATTTTAGGTTTTCACCCACTAAAAAACAAAGATAAAAGACTATAATCCATGACATTTTTTTTTCAGATCAAATAGGTAATAATTAAAATAAACAATCAAGCTAGAATTTATTGATATTTACCATTTTAACATTGAATTCTGTTAAGTTAGATGTAAATATATTCAATATGTTTCTTCTTCATCACCAAATTTCATGTTTCTTCGTCACCAAGCCACAGAGTTAAAATATTGTAAATGAATGACAAATAAATTATATCTACATGGGTAATCACTAAAATTAAATATGTAAGCTCAATGTTATTTGTATTTACTATAATCACATTGCATTATGTTATAATAGATGTAAACAATTTCTATATTTTTCTTCTTCTCCATCACCAAAATTTTGGTTTCTTCACCTCTAAGAAACTAAGTTAAGAGACAACAAATGAATGCCCATAATTTATACATATGCATAAAAATTAAAATTAAATAATCAAGCTCAATATTATATATATTCATCGTATTCTCGTTGACTTATGGTATATTATACATTAAAAGTTTAATATTTTTCTTCACCATCCCAAAGTTTTAGAATTTTTATTTCTAAGCTAAAATATAATAGACTATAGTGTATGTAAAAACTTAATTATATTTTATTTTTCTACTCCATCTCAAAATTTTAGGTTTTTATTCACTAAAAAACAAAGCTAAAAGACTATAATCCATGAGATATTTTTTATATAAAATAGGTAATAATTAAAATAACAAATCAAGCTAGAATTTATTTATATTTACCATTTTAACATTGAATTATGGTAAGTTAGATGTAAATATATTCAATATGTTTCTTCTTCATCACCAAATTTCATGTTTCTTCGTCACCAAGCCACAGAGTTAAAATACTGTAAATGAATGACAAATAAATTATATCTACATGGGTAATTACTAAAATTAAACATTTAACCTCAATGTTATTTGTATTCACTATAATCGCATTGCATTATGGTATAATAGATGTAAACAATTTCTATATTTTTCTTCTTCTCCATCACCAAAATTTTGGTTTCTTTACCTCTAAGAAACTAAGTTAAGAGACAACAAATGAATGACCCATAATTTATACATATGCTTAAAAATTAAAATCAAATAATCAAGCTCAATATTATATATATTCATCGTATTCACGTTGACTTATGGTATATTATACATTAAAAGTTTAATATTTTTTTCACCTTCCCAAAGTTTTAGAATTTTTATTTCTAAGCTAAAAATATAATAGACTATAGTGTATGTAAAAAATTAATTATATTTTATTTTTCTACTCTATCTCAAAATTTTAGGTTTTTATTCACTAAAAAACAAAGCTAAAAGACTATAATCCATGAGATATTTTTTATATAAAATAGGTAATAATTAAAATAACAAATCAAGCTAGAATTTATTTATATTTACCATTTAAACATTGAATTATGGTAAGCTAGATGTAAATATATTCAATATGTTTCTTCTCTATCACCAAATTTCATGTTTCTTCGTCACCAAGCTACAGAGTTAAAAGATTGTAAATGAATGACAAATAAATCATATCTACATGGGTAATCACTAAAATTAAACATTTAACTTCAATGTTATTTGTATTCACTATAATCACATTGTATTATGGTATAATAGATGTAAACAATTTCTATATTTTTCTTCTTCTCCATCACTAAAATTTTGGTTTCTTCACCTCTAAGAAACTAAGTTAAGAGACAACAAATGAATGACCCATAATTTATACATATTCATTTTAATATAACTTGAGTTTACTTTAACATAACTTAACTTCAAAAAATTACAATGTCGGAACAAAGTTGGTGCTCTGAAATGATTCTTAGGAGTTTCGGATATGCATCTTCGGACACACCCAAATAATATATGAAGACGCATCTCCAAACCATATTTTGTTCAAAATAAAGTATATCTCAAAAGAGTACACACTTGTGTGATTTTGAATGCGTACGGAGATACATCTCCAGATGCATGAAGGGTCTTTTTGGATTTTCAAAAATATGAGATGCATACATGAAAGTGAAAAGAGCACTCTCCAAATATTAATTAGAGATAAGAAGTAAACATAAGGAAAAGGGTTTTATTGCTCTTAAATGGGGAATTTATCCAGTGGCTCCCAAAATTTAATCCAACACCTCCAATATTTTATAATACTCATTTCACCCTTACAAAATTTTAACAAATATTTAAAAGTGCAGTATGTATTTATACCTTTTTTTAATTGAATTTAACATATTGGATTTTTTTATAAGTTCAGTATCTTTGATGATTTTCTAAATTTTTGAAAAACCGGTAATTCATATTCAATAGACCAAAATGAATCATTACTACCGGATTTTTTGACATGTTTTGTAGGTTTTTGATATTTCTGAAAAATTGGTTTATAAAATTTTAGAATTTTATGTTTTTATACCAAATTTTTTGAAAAAATCAAGGTAAAAAAGTATGATTTTACACCGGAATTTTATAAAATCTAATATAAAATAAAAAAATTCTGAAAAAATATATATGATTTCAGATTTTTTTTTAAAAAATCCGATAAAAACTGAATTTGGTATATATCCGGTCATCTCTCGTGTTTCTAATTTAATGGTTCAGAATTTATAATGAATAATTATATAAAAATTCAAAAATAACAAAGACAAATTACTTATCTATTTCTCTCTTCTATTAAATAACTTTTTTAATTTAACTATTTATTATAAATTCTGAACCGTTAGATTAGAAATATGAGAGATGGTAGAATATATAAAAAAGGAGAAGATCCAAATCCATAAAAACTCATAAATCTCCTAAAAAATATTCAATAAAAACTCATTAGTTCCAAAAATATCGAATAAATTTTTAAAAATTTCCAGAAACACAAAAAAAGAATTAAAAACATAAAAATCACGAAGAATATTAAAGTGAAAATACTATTTATAAGCGGTGTCAAGTCATATTTTAAAGTGAAAATAGGATAAATTATATTTAAACGTAGTATTATAGTAAAATGGAGTGAATAGTGGGTAAATTGACCAAATTGTTATTAGAGTATTCAAATACAAATCAATTTAAATAAAAACTATAAATTAGTTCAAAAATAATGAAACCCAAAAAATTTAAATATTATTGGCTGCATTCGGATTTCAAATTAATTTCTTAAAACCAATTTAAACCAAATTAAATATTTATTTTTTTTATTAGTATAATATGTTGTTCTAATTTATTATTAGATAATACTTATTTTTTATTACTACTTATCAATTTAATTTAATTTATTTCTTTTTTTTTTCAATTATTATCGATATTTGCAATATTAATTTTTAATGTATGGTGTTAAATATTATATGTAACATTATTTAATGATATTTTTATAATTTTAATAAAAAGTATGATTTATATTTTTAATATCTAAAAATCAATCCAAATTAAACTGGATAAATAGAATTAGATCGGATATTTTAACCAATAATTTAAAATCAAACTGAGCCAAACCTCAAATAAATTTATATTTGTCATCATGAGTTTTTGTCTCAACCGATTCAAACCGGTTCATGAACATCCTTAAATACAATGTCTACTAGTTTTAGACACAAGAAGAAAGTGATGTTGGCAACGCAATCAAACCATAACAAACTGTAAAATGTAAATATATTGTAAATATTAAATTATACACAACAGAAACTATAATTCACCCGGACATTAAATTAGTCCAACATCCAATATTTAAGTACACATATACAAATGAAATCCAAGCAATATATTAAGTAAACTCTTCAGTCAAACATGTAAGGAAGTGGCCTGACTGCCATAAATGCATCAACCATCTGAGAAAAACATGGAAAAAGAACAAAAAAGTGAGAAGAAAAAAAGAACAAGACTTCAACCCTGTTAATTTTACCAATATATAACAAGTTTGAACTTTTCAAACATACAAATATAGTTAAGGAAGTGTCAAAATACATGCATGATTGTATACTCTAGCAATTCTGGTACATGTAATTCAGATATTGAAAAGGAACTCCTACTTATAAAAAGAATAAACTCTCAATTTGAACGTCTCAAAAGATTACGATGTCAACATACCATCCCTCTAAATATTTTACTTGAAAGATTTGGTTACAAAAATATTTTTAAAAAATTAATGTTGTGAAGCTCTAAACTTTGGAAGACTAAATCAAGAATTTAATTGAAAAAAAGAAAGGAATGAGATCAGTGTGTACCTCATCGGTCACATTAGCTCGAGCTGTTCGATGTCTCTCCACTAGTTCGGTCAAAACTTGAACTAGGCGCTGCTTCACCTCACCAGTTAGCATGCGTCCTGCTCCATACTCCTATGGGAGAATGATAAAATTGTCAGAACAAATTAAACAAGTCTTATTTAGCTACATGTAAAATAATTTAGGAAAAGAGAGAGAAATATGACCTTCTTTATGTGTTCAAGTTCAGCATCATCTTCCAAGAAAAAAGAAAGGTATTTGACAGGTATATCTACCTGAATCATCAAATGTTTAGATGTTTTAGCTATAACTAAACATAAAGATCAAGGAGCACCAATGAAATACAAAGGAATTGATTGGCCAATAAAAGGAACACAGATTATATCAGTTTTTATCAGATTGGTACAGTACACACAACAACTAAGCCCTTACCCCCTAAATGGAGTCGGCTACATAGATCAAACGACGCCATAATATTCTACCAGATTGGTACATATATCAAAATCAAAGTAATCATTCCCAACTTTTATTCACATATTTGTTACAAGAGAACTGCATATTCATCACAAAATAAAGCAATACGAAGTTACATTACCTCAATATTTGCCCCTAACTGTCTATGTTTCTCTACAGAATCTTGCCCACCAGAAAATGCATGTCTGTTTACCTGCAAATAGCCAGTGCGTGATGAACTTAACCAAGTGGATGGAATAAAAAAGAGAAAACGAAGAACAGTGGGGAGAATTGCACAAATTATTAGACTTTAAGATCATCCAGCATTGTAGAGCAAGATTTACTAGAGTGAGATCTAGTGATTGGTAAAAAGTCTTGCATATACAGCAGCGATAGACAAAGAACAGTGGGGAAGAATTGCACAAATAAAGCTACAAGGCCTAAATGTAAGCAACACATTATTAATCAAAGGTTTAAAAAGAATAATTTCAGAAATAAACCTTATTCTTTATATCTTTTGCAGAATCGGTAACATATATTGCAGAGTTGGGATCACTGGCAGACATTTTTCCTGTTTCCCCCTGCAAGCAATTATATTTCACAAAGGCATTGAGGAAACATGCAAAAAAATACAGTTATACAAGGAAGAGATTATTGCCACAGAAAAATTCAGAGGCTATATATACTTTTATCAGGACTCAAATGAGATTCATGAAACTTTGTAGACTAAAGACTATGACCCTGATGTCTGTACTAGTTACATGCATGCAGATACATAGCAATAACATATATGCAAGCAAATTCAATGGCAAATATATGCATGAACATGCATAGTATTAGATTGTATTAGTTTCATAAATTAGCACTATTTTGCAACATAATTATACCTGTAATGCAGGGAAGAATAATGATTCAATCAATGCAGGCTTGTGATATCCAAGTTTAGGAGCAACATCTCGTGTCATTCTAAAATAAGGATCCTGAAGACGTCATATAGAAACACTATTACAAAAAGAGCGGATAAAATTTAAAATGCAGATTCAATAACCATCCAGGTATTAGAAAAAAAAATGATAAAAACGTCAATTTTACGTAAATGTATCATAAATAACTGCAAAGGGCATAGGCAACCTCTTGAATAAATATATTTTCTCCACTCTTTTACTTATCATTTTCCTGGTAGTTCAAGGGGGGTGCCGTATCATATCTCCTAATAAAGTCTTTTTTGCCCATCGAATGAAGGAAAAGCAAAGACAATGTAGTAAAATACATGCAATATGAAAGAATGGAACACATTAAAAGTTTAACCTATAACTTATTTACTTATAGTAATCTTAGGAGTCTTTTCATCCCCTCATTAATATTTTTTACATGATTCACCCATCAGAGGGATTTTGCTTTGTTTGAATTCTTAGAAACATTTTTTAAAAGACTAATCTAGGATCTTTGAAACATTTTTGCGATTATGCTTATGTATGAACTTAAATTTATATAAGTATTTGAACTTAAATTTATATATAATAGCATTAGTAAGACAAATCACGAGTAAAGTAATTAAAAACCTTAAGTCACACTTCAAATACTATTCAAAATTTGGTAACTATTTTTCACTCAACCTGAGAATGAAAGCTTCAGTAACACCCAAATGTATCGATCTCATTCTTAGCTAACAAATAGTTAGTTATTAAACACCATAAGAGAAGAAAACATCAATTGTTAAGTTAAAACGTATCCTTTTATGAATTTTGTTTTCCTTTTACATGTATAACATGTATTTGAACCAAAAAAAAATCCCAAAAGCAAAGCAAGAATTTTGCAGAAACATAGGAACCAGGTATCACCATGATCACACTAGTTAGTCTTAAAATGAAATCAACTTAAATTTGTTCATACAAAAGCATCAGAGATCAACAAACCTGATCTATTGCACAAGGAATTAAACAACGAAGATTATCTTTGCCAGAAAATAGATGAGGAAATGAACTAGGAAATGATGGAACTGCCTGTATAAACAAAAGTAGCACAAACAATCAAGTCCAAGTGACAAATTCAAAATATGCATCCTTATCAAATGAATAGGAGAGAGATGGACAATACATACATTAATAATTAAGCAGAAATATTCAATGATAGACACATTTCACATAGGAGAGAGATGGACCATACCTGCACAGGTGGAAAACTAACTTTTCCAATATGATCTTCCCCAGTGAACCCAAAAATGCCAACAGCCTGGTTATAAGTCACACGCTTTGCAACCTCTACCATGTTCCTGTAGAAGGCACTGAAAAGGGAATTTCTTCACTGTCAGTATATAGTGATTAGAGATGCAATTAGTGTTATTGTTTCTGTACATGACAGTTTTATTAGTTAGTTTACTGTTAGGTAGCTGCAATTGCATATAAAGGTTCAATTAAGCTTAATAGAATCTATTAATACCAGCATAATAATTAAAATCTTCCATAAACAACCAACCATGATTTCTAAATATGGGACCCACAAAATTAATAATGCACACATAATTAAGGTTATTGGATGCTTTAAAGGGAAAGACCGTAATCTCATCTTGTAAAAAAAAAACCTGTGAAAAGTTTGGGACGAATTGGCGCACTCTTTGTTGCACTGAGCAAGAGAAAATCATCCTTGAGGTTCATCTAAGACAATGGAAAGACTATATAACGGCTAATTATTGTCCATACTTAGCCAAAACAATTTTCATTAAAAAATGAAAACTCTGCACCAGCTCAAGGTTCTAGTTTTCATTCCTATAGGGTATCAAATATTAATGAAAAATGAAAAGCATGAATCGAAACCAATTGCCTAAGTTGCGTTAAGTCCAGAAAAAAAAAGACAAGTTTATGTTAGGCAGATGACAACATCAGTAACACTTTGTCGAATCTTCAGAACATAGATTAACTGATGTGATAATGTAGAATTTACAAAGCACAAAACCATTTCTATTTCCTAATGCAGAATTTCTTAAGTTAGCAGGTACAATTTTGTTTCCTACTAATATAATAAATATATGTTCTTATAAAATTCCTGCAAGTACAAATAATCTAAAATTTAACAAAATAGGAAAATGTGCTTAAAAAATATACATTTACAGAAAGCATGCATTTATATTATAACTAACTCACCCGCCAACAAAATCAAAATCAGAGAAAATGAACGTCTTAGATATGTCAAAGCCGCAAGCAATGATGTCCTTTGCATTTTCGCGCGCAAGTCTTCGGCACTCATCTACCGTAAGATTTTTCCACAAGAACTTCTCATCATCAGTGAGCTGTATTACCAGAGGAACCTTAAAAGCATCTTGCAAATACCTACAAACGCCATTTTCCACCACATCAAGAAGTCAAGAAATATCTCCAAGAACTCCAACAATTTCAATCTCAGCTTCATTTCCACAATTCATCTACTTAAGTATCTATTTTCATTCCGTCATTACTATAAAACTCTATAATCATAACATTTACGCCTATCTATAACTAACATTTATCCGTATCTATATTGCGACATTTTGGTTAATTTTACAAAAATGTACTTACTTGGTGAACATGAATGGAATCAAATGACCTAAATGCAAAGCTTCGGAAGAAGGTCCACGTCCTGTATATAGGTAAAACTTATCACCTTTTTCGTATGCATTCAAAACCTCAGCAAAATCACTGTCACATGCAAATCCACAAAAGTCACATTCTCAGATTAATTAAAGAATCAACAAATGAGTAAGCAAAATAGATAGAAAGAGAGGTGAAACCGGTGAGCGAAGAAAACGCCGCGGCGGAGGAAAACATGAGCGGGGAGAGAAGTGACTTGTTCGACGCGATGAATGAGAGATTGATCGATTCTCTGACAACCGAAACGGTCAATGAGTTTGTCGTAGTCGATTTTTCCTCCGTCTTTGCCAGAAACCTCCCATGGAGTCACCACCTGCTCTTCCTCTTGATCTTTGTTTGTTTGTGTTGATGGCTCCATTTTCTCCGATCAACGGTAATGGTTGCCGGCGGCGAATGAAGACAGTGGAATAAGTTGGAAGTGGAGTTTCAGATTTTAGTTGAGGGTTTTAAATAAAAAGAAATGGGAGGGGAATTATATTTCTCAAATTAAATATTAGATTGAACTGAATAAAAACATAAAACCAAAAGGAAGAAGTTGTCAAAAATAAAATAGCTCAACAAGGCTAAAAGTCAGAAAGAGTAATTTTAGTGGTTGGTGTATTATATGCTCAGTTACACCTTTTGTCCAATAGGATTTCAACAAAAGATAATCTAGCTACAAGAGGAGTGTTAGACCTATGTTTAGTTTGATGTGTCGGAGGAGTGAGGAGTCACTTTCTTGTCTATTTTCTAGTGTGTAATTTTTGCAGGAGTTTGGCTTGGAATCTCTAAGCTTTGCAACACCTTGAGCAATTTGAGGAGATAGAGTCGGTGCGGGATTTTTCCAAATTTGGTTTCGGTATAAAACATAGTCAGTTAGTTTAGTGCTAAAGCTGTTTCCAGCAGCACTGTCTAATATTATATTAGACAGTCACTTTATATTGTCTCAAATTGAATGCTAGAAGGCAAAAAGTAAACATATATTCTTTAGTTGGATATTGAGCAGTGGTTTGAAAAATTCATAGAAACTTGTGGAATGTTAGAAATGTCTAATCATAAGAGTCTAATTTGAAGTGTATCTCAATGATACTTGAATCCCAAGTTATACCTTAGAGATATATTTAAGTGGTAACTTTACTCTAAAGATGTTAATTAATTTGTTTCTTGCCTTGGATATGGGGTCTCGACTGGTTGGCGTTTTTATTAGTGTGATACTAAAGTGCATTAATATCGGGGTCGGTTCTTTGCATTTCTTGTGCCTAGAGTTTGTTGATCGCTTGAAATTTCCAAGATCGCATTTTAAGGCCTAACCGCAACATTTTGGTTATTGTTGTTTTGCTAAGTTTTTGTAGATGCCAAGCTTTCTTTTCGTCTGCTTCGTTTTAGTGGAAGATGTATTTGCGTGGCAGATGCAGATTGAGTTATTGAATTGTGAGTAACGAATTTTGGCTTAGGCTTTGTTAGCCCGAGATTTTTGAATTAGCCTTTTTAATATGAATATGAGATACAAGGTGAATATAAATACTAAGTGTTGGTATCTAAGTCATGTTGTTAACATCAAGTTGCGAATTTGACAAGTGGAGCTTTCGACAGATATGATCAGGTGATTTGAAGACGTTTTCGGGAGTAGTAATTGTTTAGAGCGGTTCGAGAATCAAAGACACGTGTAAACACATTAGAAGACAAAACCCCACTTAGAAGATATGTGTCAAATTCTGGAGATATAATTGATGTTGATAGTTATTCATGTACATAGTATATAAGTATATTTCATTTGGGGGTTCGTATTTTCATTTTATTCTCTTTGAAACTCATATATCCGATTTACTGAGATCTTGAGTTTGTAGAAATGTATGCACTTGTGCCCCATATTTAATTTAAACATTATTTATTACTTTTTGTAGTTTACTTTCTTTTGATGTTATGTTAATTTAAGAGCATTTTCTCAAGTTCTTTAGTTATTTGTATTAGAAAAATTTACAACACTATCACACTTATTTCAAACATTTAGCCTAATTGTCCTTTAGGATTTTTTGAGTTTAATCCTGCAAGTGAATTAAAACTCGTGATTGTTTACTAAAGATACCAACAAGCATGTCTATTCTGTAATTTTGGACCATTACTTTAGTGTATTTTTTTTTCAACTTTGCTTTGTTCAAGGGGTTAGGTGCCTTTGTATAATGTGTATTTGTTATATAGTCTAGAATTTGCATCCTGACATGGTATATTTTTAAGCTTTAGAATCAAACTTGTTCGAGTTATCTTTAGTTTTAAGCATATAACAAATATATCCAAATGGATGAAAATATGAAATGTTGGATTTTTTGTTCTTCCACGATTTATATGGACTCTTCTCAAGAATTGGTCTTATTGAGATTATATTCTGAATATAACATGTAATATTTACTGTTTCTTCCCATTAGCGTTTTGCCATATTAGTCTCATTAATTATGGTTATGGCTATTTCTTGCAAAGTAAGATTTTTCTGTTTAACAACTTCATTCTGCTAAGGAGTTCTAGGACAGGAGAAATCATGAGAAATTCCATTATTTTTAAAATATTTATTTTCAAATTCACCTCCATGATCATATTCATTTTTCACTTGAGTACATAAGGTAGTAAACACGGAATGTGACTCATCCTTGCAATTTAAGAACTTTACCCAAGCCCATCTTTTGAAGTCATTTATGATGACTAATCCATACTTCTTGCCATTGATGGAGACAATCTTAACTGACCCAAAAAAATCAATGTGTAAGAGTTTCAGAGGCCTGGATGTAGAAACAACATTATTTGCTTTAAAATATGTTTTTGAAAACTTTCCCTTCTGACATGTCTCACAAAGAGCATCTGAAGCAAACTTCAGATTTATAAGGTCTCCGACTAAATTGAGTTTGTTTAGCTTAGAGATTCTTCTCATGCTAACATGGCCCAACTGTTTATTCCAAGTTTATTTCTCTTTGTTCACTGACATGAGACATTTAACATTTTGATTTTCTAAATCTGAAAGTCTGTTTTTATAAATGTTGTTTTTCCTCTTGCCACTGAATAGTACAGAATCATCCTTTTGACTTACAGCTTTACAGGACTTCTGATTAAAGATAATGTCATAATCATTGTCACTTAATTGACTTATGGACAAGATATTATGCATTAAAATATCAACTAATAAGACATTAGGGATAGAGGGAAGGAAACCATTATCTATCATTCCAAAGCCAATGATCTTACCCTTTTGGTCTCTATAAAAGCCTACTGAGCCTCCAGGCTTAAGTTCTAACTTTTGAAATATATACCTTCTTCCAGTCATGTGTCATGAGCATCTAAAGTCTAGATACCATGACTGATGTCTCAACTTGGTTGCTAAGGATATATGCAACATAGACAATTTTATTTTTAGGTACTCACATCTTTCTGGGTCCTTTGTGGTTAGTTCTCCCAGAGGTTTTTCCAACCCAGGGTTTATGTACATATTAAACATTATGTGTGTGACCATAGGTGAAATAAGAGCATAACGCTTTTGGATTTATCTCATTCTCTTCGGGTTTAGGCTTGAACATAGCGTTCTTTGGTTTAAATAATCAATGCCTTTTTTCCTGTTTCCAATGACTTCATAGATCATTGAAGCCATCTTATTTCTCTCTATGTTATTAGCTAGGAATTTTTTTAAAGATGTTTCATATCTTTTAGAATCACATTCAGAGTCCATAGAAGCTTCTGAAAGAATTTCTTTCTCTGGTTTTTTACTTTTGCTTTTTAGGGCAGAGTTTTCTTTTTCTAAACTACTGACTTTTTCTTTTAAAATGGAGTTTTCTTTCAGTAGTTCACTATAGGCTTCAGAATTAACCACATGAGTCTGTTTCAAACTCTTGCATCTTTTTTGAAGCTTCTAACTCTTTTAAATGATGATTCTAATTTAGAATGAGTGAGATGAGAAAATACCTCGTCAAAATCTAAGTCTGATTTTGAATCTGGTCCTAATTCAGATACTTATGTGCTAGCCTTTAAAGTCATGTTGGATTTCTCTTCTTTATAATCATCTTCCGAAGCTTTAGAGTCATCCCAAGTTAACATCAAAACCTTCTTCTCTCTGAATAATTTATTCTGAGACGTGGGTTTGGGACAACCATTTTTGTAATGTCAAGGTTTTTTACATTCAAAGTAGGTAACTAAACTTCTTTTGCCTAGAGGTTGACTCAAGTCGTCCACCTGTTCTTCTATAGAGTAAAGAAAAACTTGTCTGTATTTTCTCCCAAAGTTTGTTGACCCTTCTTGAGAGTAAAGACAACTCATCTTCTTCTTCAAATCTTTCTTTAAACTTTTTTTCCAGCATGAAGAGCTTTGGCCTTCTCAAACTTGCGTTTGTACTTCAAAGCCACAAACTTAATTTTCTTCTAGGACGTATCCTCTCCAAGATAAATCTCGTGACTCCTCAGAGAACTTAGGAATTCTTCTAGAGTCTTACTTTTCAGATCCTTTGAAATCTTAAGTGATGTCACCATTGGTCTCTATTTCTTTGACACACTTCTGATGATTTTTTTAGATGATCAACAGTAGTGTAACCATTATTCAAAACTTTTAATCCATCTACAAGAGTTTTAGATCTTGAGAAAATTTCATCAATTATTTCATGCTCTTCCATTTTGAAGGATTCATACTTCTGGATTAAGGCGAAGACTTTAGTTTCTTTAACTTTCTCATTTCCTTCATGAGACATTTTCAAAAATCAAATATAGACTTAGCAGAGTCTCTATTTATTATCGTTTCATACTCTGAATAGGAAATAACATTCAGTAATATGGTTATGAATCTATGACTATTCTTGTGAGCTTTCTTTTGTTGCTCATTCATTTTGCTTCTTTCAAGCTTATTACAATTTTCATTTGTAGGGTGTATGTAACCATCTATTAGCATATCACATAGATCTACATCACAACCTATGAAGAAACTTTCGATTCTATCTTTCTAATAGTCAATTTTTTCTCCATCAAAGATTGGAGGTTTAGCAGAATAATGATCTTTATCCTTTTTTGCATTAGCTATTTTGTGTTTCAAAAAATATATCTTTATCAAACACGGCTAAGTATTTGACACAAAGTAGCCCATACCAGAATCAGAGATTTGATGCCAATTTAAGGTTCAAGAAACACAAGAAGGGGGATTGAATTGAGTTTTAAATATAAAATTTTTTATTAACCCAAAAGCAATAACAACACTGATAAAAATGACAAGATATTTTTATCCTGGTTCACCGTTGACAAGGTTAATCCATTCCACTCGCCAAAGTGACTTTTCCTTCTCAACAGGACTTAATCCAATAATAAATCTGATTACAATCTCAAAGACTACCCATTAATGACTTCTTAAGGATTCTGAATA